ATTTTTAAAAAATAAGTCAAGTTTTCCATTTTAAAATCAGTACACCATTTTACCTCAATCACTTAAAAAAAATCACAATTCTACCTCCTGAATGTATTCACTAGTAAGTTAGACCTACTTCTCACCTTTTCCCTATACATTCCTCATGCATATTATTATCCAATTCTCCCTCTTTCTCTCTATATATATGAATTTTGTTTGTTTTTTGAGACAGGGTCTTGCTTTGTCTCCTAGGCTGGAGTGCAGTGGTGCTATCCTGCTCACTGCAACCTCTGCCTCCCAGGCTCAAGCAATCCTCTCATCTCAGTCCCTGAGCAGCTGGGACTACAGGTGCACACCACCATGCCCAGCTAATTTTTGTATTTTGCATTTTTTTGTAGAGATGCGGATCTTGCTATGTTGACCAGGCTAGTCTTAAGCTCCTGGGCTCTAGCAATCTATCCACCTCAGCCTCCCAAAGTGCTAGGATTACAAATGTGAGCCACTGCACCCAGCCATATGTATTATATGTATATAAAAAACACATATGTATATGTGTATATATTTATATGGTTATAATTATTTCACAATTGAATGCATTGTGGGCAGGAACTTTGTTTATTCACAGGCTGTGAAAGGAAAATAAAAACTTGGGACCCCCAATTCATTCTGCCAAAAGAAAAAAAAAATTAAGCTGAAAGCTCAGTCATGTAAGAATTTGCCTTTCCTTTCATTTCTAAGTGGGACTGGCTGCAACTAACTATGCAGCTAACTACTCTATGCCCACCTTATTTTTTTATTATTATGATTTTTTAGATGGAGTCTCACTCTGTCGCCCAGGCTTGAGGGCAGTGTCGAAATCTTGGCTCACTGCAACCCCCGCCTCCTGGCTCAAGCAATTCTCCTGCCTCAGCCTCCCAAGTAGCTGGGACTACAGGCTTGTGCCACCACGCCTGGCTAATTTTTGCATTTTTAGTATAGACCAACTTTCACCACATTGGTCAGGCTGGTCTTGAACTCCTAACCTCATTATCCACCCTCCTTGGCCTCCCAAAATGCTGGGATTACAGGTGTGAGCCACCGCGACCAGCCCCACCTTATCTTATAGTAAGCGCAGGAGTAATACGTAATTGACTCTTATTTGCTCCTTTTTTCTTGCAACAAGTGAATTCAGTAATGTGATCACACACTCCTTCTTTCCCTTCCAGCCTGCTTTTCCTTTTTAAATATTAAATCTTTCTGGCTGAGCGCGGTGGCTCACACCTGTAATCCCAGCACTTTGGGAGGCCAAGGTGGGTGGATCACCCGAGGTCAGGAGTTCGAAGACCAATGTGGCCAACGTGGTGAAACCCCATCTCTACTAAAACTACAAAAATTAGTCAGGACTGGTGGTGTGGGCCTGTAATCCCAGCTGCTTGGGAGGCTGAGGCATGAGAATCGCTTGAACCCAGGAGGCAGAGGTTGCAGTGAGCCAAGATCACACCACTGTATTCCAGCCTAGGCTATACAGCGAGACTCCATCTCAAAAAGAGAGACGGTGCGGGGAAGGGGAAGAGAGAGAGAGCACACACTAAAGAGCTGGCCAGACAAGGTGGTTCAAGGTGTAATCCCAGCACTTTGGGAGGCTGAGGTGGGAAGATTGCTTGAGCCCAGGAGTTCAAGATCAGACTGGGCAACGTGGTGAAACCCTGTTTACAAAAAATACAAAAATTAGCCAGGCGAGGTGGTGCATGCCTGTAGTACCAGCTGTTGGGGAGGCTGAAGTGGGAGGATTGCTTGAGCTGGGAAAGGAGAGATTGCAGTGAGCCAAAATCACACCACTACACTCCATCTGGGTTAACGGCAAGACCCTATCTCAAATAAAAATAAAAATAAACCAAAATGATAATAGTTATTGTATTTGGATGGTAGGATGATGGGTGATTATTTGTTTTTCCTCCTTTTCCTCCCCCCACTCCCTTTTTTTTCCTCTCTCTCTCTCTCTCTCTCTGGTGACGAGAGTCTTTTTTCCCATGTACTTTAACAAATGACTATGCATAATTTTTTATTTTTTGAGATGGATTTTCATTCTTGTTGCCCAGGCTAGAGTGCAACATCTGCCTCCCAGGTTCAAGCAATTCTCCTGCCTCAGCCTCCCAAGTAGCTGGGATTACAGGCATGCACCATCACACCTGGCTAATTTTGTATTTTTTAGTAGAGACGAGGTTTCACAATATTGGCCAGGCTGGTCTCAAACTCCCGACTTCAGGTGATCCACCTGCCTCAGCCTCTCAAAGTGCTGAGATTACAGGCGTGAACCACCCCACCCGGCTGACTATATATAATTTTTATAGTCAGAAAAAGCATACTTTAATTTTTAAGGAGTCTTATGTATTTATATTAACCCTAATACATACAAGCACTGTAATTAGAAGAGTAAGTACAGTACTGGAATTGTAGTGCTCTTGTTTGCCCAGTGCACAGTGAGTCAGCATACAGAGACACCCAGTTGCAGCAGAGAAAGAGTTTAATAATCATAGGGCATCTGAATGAGGAGATGGGAAGAAACCTCAAATCCACCCCGCTGAGAGGTTTGGGGGATAGAGTTTCAAGTCCTCTGGACAGGGGCTGCAGTGTGGGGATCGATGACTGGTCAAGAAGTGAAGGTGAAGTAATGAGACAGGGAGACAAGAATCTCATTCTTGTGCTGAGTGCCTCTCTTTGCGGGGGACGTCAGAATTCAGGATCTGAAAAACAAGCAATGCTTGAGGAAAAAGATCTTACGAGTCTCGAGTCAGTAATTCTTACTCATGGTAGGAACCATGGGGAAAGAGGTAGCAGGTGGCCTAGCATGCTGGGTGATGTTCGGTGAGTTAGCAGCTGCAGGGAATTGGGTCAAAGTACCCTTGTGCACCCTGGATACTAGCTAACTATATAATGCTGCCTAAAGCCTGGCTTGTAACTCTCCTTAACCCTGTGAGGGCAGTTTTCGTTTTGTATTTGCTTAAAAAGATGAAGGTGGCTGGGCATGGTGGCTCATGCTTGTAATCTCAGCACTTTGGGAGACCAAGGTGGGTGGATCACTTGAGGTAAGGAGTTCAAGACCACTCTGGCCAACATGGCAAAATTCTGCCTCTTCTAAAAACACAAAAATTAGCTGGGCACAGTGGCACGTGCCTGCATAATCCCAGCTACTCGGAAGGCTGAGGCAGGAGAATCGCTTGAACCCGGGAGGTGGAGGTTTCAGTAAACCGAGATCATGCTCCTGCACTCCATTCTGGGCGACAGAGCAAGACCCTGTCTAAAAGAAAAAAAAAGGTTAAGTTGTGGGACAGACACAAGCTACTTAATATTTTTCCATAAAACATCAGGGATAAGTTTCTAATTCACTGTGCATTATGGTCCTGCAGGTTAAGTTCTTTTTCTTGTTTATTTATTTATTTGGTCAATTCTAGCATCATCTAACTTTTTTTTTTTTGAAACAGGATTTCGCCCCGTTGCCCAGGCTGGAGTGCAGTGGCCCTATCACGGCTCTCTGCAGCCTCGACTTCCCGGGCTCAAGTGATCCTCCCGCCTCAGGCTCTCGAGTAGCTGGGACTACAGCCGCGCGCCACCATGCCCGGCTAATTTTAAAAGTTTTTTTGTAGAGATGGGGTTTTGCTATTTTGCTCAGGCTGGTCTTGAACTCCTAGCTCAAAGCCTTGGCCTTCCAGGCAGGCGTGGGCCACCGCGCCCGGCAGGGTAAAGTTCTTGACATAGTTTCTGGCACATAGTATATGTTTAATAGATGTTAGTTATTCTGATGATTTCAGTTATGTACCATTTACAGGCGTTTGTAACCTTTTTGGCTAACAATGTGGGCATTTAGGGAACTGATTATAGAAAGCATTTCTCAGAAACGAAGACTATGGTTCTGCGACGACTTAACAAGGTGCGGGTGGCCAGTATTTTCCCCAACTGTTGAAAATCTGTTTAGAGGCGGGAGGGCAATCTAGCCTCAGGAGGAATAGGGAATCTTCCTTATGCCTAATTTCGGTGTTAGTGTCTGGGTATTTCCTGCGCGGAATACCGCCCCAAACTGGTATCTATCTACATTTAACTCAACCGCGGTAAATTTCCTTTCAAGGCACTAAGAATTTGGCCCCGCCCACACGTCTGCTCCCAGTTGGTGTGAACGCTCTGGGGTTAGCGCGACCCTTGGCGATTTTCCCATGGAATTGGCCGTGCAAATCGATAATCCTTTTGCTTTTCCGATTGGTCGCAAGTGGCATCGGGGGTGGGGCACGTGGGCGTGTCCCGCCGGGACATGGTAAGCTGTCATTGGAAGATGAATGTCGTATTGTCTAGTGGCGTAGCCTCCGGCTCTCTCTCCCTCCCAGGCCCTTACTGTTCTTTGCATTGGCGAGACTTGTCACCACTCACAAAACTTCTAGCTCACTGGTGCAAAAGCTCCAGGAGGCGGTGGGTGATTGGTTAGTTGCTGTTCCAGTCCCTACGCCAGTCGTGGTTTAGCTGAGCTGAGCCGAAATGCTAAAGGCAGAGGAGTCAGCGGTGGTGTGGGTAGTGGTGCCTAGAGTGGCAACATGTGAGTCTTGGGCTACAGGGACGGGGCGGCAGCACTCAAGATCTGGCTGGATCTCCACTTCGTCTGCGGGCGGGAAACTGGAGGGCGGCGGTGGCCCGCAGAAAGGGGTTGGACTCTGCTGTTCCTTCTTCTCCCTCTCTAGGGCCGGAGCAGCGAGGAACCGAAGGAGGAGGCTTCATGGGTTCCACGCAGGACCCTCTGCCCTTCCGAGGGCCCACAAGTTGAAAGCGAGCGGCATAGCGGCCCAGGCAAAAAGGGCACTCGGCGTCCTTCCCCGGGAGCCGGGCGTGCCTGCCCGCCGCACACGCTCACCTGGGCCACCGCGCTCGTTCGTGCCCTTGACGTCTTGCGGACGTTTCTCCTTAATGGACTTTTGGCGCTTGGGGCTGGGAGAGTGAACGTGCCAAGAATGGCCCTGTAGTTGGAGGCATCTCACTCCAGAGGGTCTCCAGCGGCGCAGGGGTGTCAGAGCCGCGGGCACCTGGGGCACATTAATAGCATGAAGAGGAAAGAGAAAGGAGAAAGTGGTCAAGGAGGTGTGTCTGTGCGGTTGGCTGGGGGAGTCGGGACTATCTGCCTTAAGGGGCATTTGAGCGGGAAGTCCCTTCCCTCCCCCAGCATGTTCCTGAGTTTGTGTCCTTTGTAGGGACATGGATGAACCTGGAAACCATCATTCTCAGCAAACTGACAGAAGAGCAGAAGATCAAACACCGCATGTTCTCACTCATAGGCGGGTGTTGAACAATGAGAACACATGGACACAGGGAGGGGAGCACTACACACTGGGGTCAGTTGGGGGGAAATAGGGGAGGGACGGTGGGGGGTGGGCAGCTGGGGAGAGAGAGCAAGGGGAGAGATGCCAGATGTAGGTGATGGGGAGTAAGGCAGCAAATCACACTACCACATGTGTACCTATGCAACAATCTTGCATGTTCTTCACATGTACCCCAAAACCTAAAATGCAATAAAATAAATAAATGGGGGAAAAAAAAGTCTCCTCATCTGTGAGATTTGCTCTTTTTCAGAAACAAAGAAAAGGAATCTCTAGTTTTGTCACCCAGCAAGATTTTGAGTGCTGCAGTGCACTGGATTTGTATAGACCTATAATGGACTTTTTGTGAATGATTAAAACATGTATCATTCTTTGGTCCCTTATACCGCGTTTGTGAACAGGATAAATTCTGTTTGTTTGCTTTCTCTTGTCCTAGAAAGGAATGCGTGTGCTTGGGTGTAATCTATGATATTAAGCTACTGCTGGCCACTGTTGAATTTCGGCGGTGAGGCCTGTGGAATTTGGTTAGCTCCCCTCTGAGATCGCTAGAGTCCGAATGAATGGGAGACTGGCTGTCCTCGTTGCGTTTTTCCCCTCCATGCCCAGTACTAAATCTTTCTTTCTTTAGCAATTTAAAAGGCAAATAAATCAGTCTCTGGATGTATGTCTTTTTCTTTTTGAAGTTTTTTTTTTGTATTATTATTTTTAAAAATAGAGGCAGGGGGCTAGGCGAGGTGGTTAATGCTTGTAATTACAGCACTTTGGGAGGCCGAGGGTGGCGGATCACCTGAGGTCGGGAGTTTGAGGCCAGCCTGACCAACATGGAGAAACCTTGTCTTTACTAAAAATACAAAATTAGCTTGGGCCCAAGCAGTCCTCCCGCCATGGTGTCCTAAAGTGCTCAGATTATAGGCTTGAGCTACCATGTCTGGCCAGATTATGTATCCTTTTCTAGTGGCTGCCAGCATCTCTTGCACATTCTTAGGTTCACAGGAGAGACATATGAACACATGTAGGCTAAGCAAATTTAACCCTGTTTGGCCAAAAAGAAGAAGATAATGGGCAAAACAGGGAGGGTAGTTCTACCCCGCCCCCCCATGCAGTTAGTGTCCCAGCAGAAGGCTGAGGTGGAGCTGGGAATCTGCTGGTGCCTCCTCTGTCAGCCTGTGTTCCAGCTGGCCTGCCTTAGTGGCAGCATCTCATCTCTCTGCACCAAGAGCGCTCCCAGTGCTTAGAGATGGAGTGTGATTTCTTTTCCTCATTCTGGCTCAAGCCAACTACTCGAGATGGTGTCCAACTACAGAAATAGACAAGCTGGCTGCATTGCTGTTACTGTGAACCAGCACTGTGCTTTGTGGGCCATTTAAGAGATTTGTAAAGCGAGTTTTGACAGAACTTAATCTTTGCCTTGTGAACTGCTTCTAGATCCAAATTTCTGATTGAGGATACACGCCACAGGGTGGCATGTGAACATTGCTGGAGTATAGTGGTGCGATTTTGGCTCACTACAACCTCTGCCTCCTGGGTTCAAGCGATTCTCATTCTTCAGCTGGAATTACAGACGTTCGCCACCATGCAAGGCTAATTTTCGTATTTTTAGTAGAGATGGTTTCACCATGTTGGCCATGCTGGTCTGGCATTTCTCACCTTAGGTGATCCACCCACCTCGGCCTTCCAAAGTGCTGGTAC